GCCGCCACCGCCACTGGGGAAGCCGCCCCGGTTGCCACCACCGGAGCCACTGTTGCCGCCGCCAAAACCGCCACGCCCCATGGGACCTGCGGGAGGCGATATTTTTGGGATGAAAAAGGATGATTTTGGGGTGGAGGAGGATTTTGGGGCTCCCCCACAACGGCACACGCTCGTTTGCTCGCTCACCTCCCCGCCCGCGGCCGCCTCGCCCGCCTCCGCCGCCACGGTTGAAGTCAGCACGGCGAGTGGCAAAGGAAACCTTGATGGGGTTGCCGGAAAATTCTTTGCCTAAAAATGGGAGAATTCAACCCAAAACTTGGTTGGTTTGAGGGGCAGGGAATTGGAGGGGGTAGGGGAGGAGCGGGGTCATACCGTCGAACCAGTCGATGGCGGCTTTGGCGGAGGGGGGGTCGTCGAAGGAGACCGTGGCCTCCCCCTTCAGTTTGCCGGTCTCACGGTCCGTGTAGAGGTTGATCATGGGCTGCCCCGTCTTTTTGTTGGTCTAAGGGGGCGAGGACACGTTAGGGACATGCTAAGAACACACTAAGGAGAAGGGGAGATGGCAAGGGTGAGGGGATTGAGGGTGGGCCCCGTGGGTTGGTGTTGGGGTGAAATATGAGGACATGCTAAGGACATACATGTGAAGGACACGCTGAGGACAATACACAACATGCTAAGGACACGCCAATGAAACCACACCACCCTAAGGAGACAACATGCTAACGACATGCTATGCACACCCCCACAACATACTACAGACAATCCCGAAACATGCTAAGGGCACCACAACACCGCGCTAAGGGCATGTTAAGGATAGATCAATGCATGCTAAGGACATCCTACAGACACCCCCACAACACGCTAAAACTGCAACCACATGAAGACATGCTAAGGACACCACCACAATACACTACAAACACGCTAAGGACACACCAGGGGCATCACAACATGCTATGGGCATGCTACCGACCCCACAACATGCTAAGGACACACTAAGCACACAGCACACCACGCCAAGGACACGCCTCACCTTAATGATGCCGATCTGCTTGAAGTAGTCGGCCACCGACTCGATGGTGACATTCTCGCCCAGCCCCTGCACGAAGATGGTGTTGTTGTCTGAGTTATCCTGCTCGCCTGCGGGCAGAGAGCTCGTTAGCACCGGTCTTCGTTAGTCCTCATTAGCCACCTATCCCTCCTCCTCCCTCACTAACCCCCTCAGCACCTCGTTAACCCATCCTCGTTAGCCCCTTCATCACCTCATTACCCCTGCCCTACCGTTAACCCCTTTCCCCTTAACAGCCTCATTAGCATCTTTCCCCATTAGTCCAACTAATCCTCTTCCCCTCTTCAGCCCAATTAATCCAATCCCCTCATTAACACCCACAATTAAACTTCTTCCCCCTCATTAGCCCCCAATTAATCATCTTCCCCCTCATTAGCTCCCTAATTAACCCCCTTGCCCATCAGCCCCCAATTAATCCTTCTCCCACTCATGAGCCCCAACTAATCCTCTTCCCCCCTCATTAACCCAAATTAATTATCCCCAATTGATCTTCCCCCCAGACTCAATCTTCTTTCCCCCCCTTAGATCCCCAATTAATCCCCTTCCCCCTCATTAGCTGCCTGATTCTCTTCCCCTTCATGAGCTGCAATTACTACCCTTCCCTCTCATTAACCCAAATAATCCTCCTCTTACTCTAATTAATCCCTTTCCTCATCAGCCCCCAATTTTCCTCTTATTAGTCCAATTAATCCCCCTCATAAGCCCCAATACTCTTCCCCAATTAATCC